TAATTTGTACTACTGTCTGTTCAAAATAAATTAAATGAAACCCAGCATAGTAGATTTGTTTTTTTCCCTGTTGTACCGAAATCGTATCGAACCGTGACCCCCGAACCAAGGTACGTACCGAACCGTGACATCCGTGTACAATTCCACCCCTAGTATATGCGTATATATATATATATATATATATATATATATATATATAAATGTATTATTGGTTAATTTTTATTTAATATAAAAAGTAAAATATTTAAATATATTAAAAATATTAAAATACATAAAAAAATATATTAAAATATATATATATATATATATATATATATTTAGCTAAAGATATGAATAGATGTGAATAAAGACAAAATATTTGTTTGTATTTAATATAAAAATGTATAAGAAGAAATCTATTTTTATCAATATAATATTTTAGATAAATTAATTATTTTTTATTTTAGTGTTGATATATATACAATCAAAAAAAATCTAAAATAATATTTTGACTTTTCATATTATATAGTATAACTGTATATAGACGAAATATGTTTTTAATAACCTGTCAAGTTCTAAAACACATCTCAAGACCCCTAAATTCTGCACTATCTGGCTGTTTTTGAACCTTAATTTCTGCTGCATTCTACCTGTGTGTGTGTGTGTGTGTGTGTGAGCGAGCCTTTCCATAAGTACTGTCTTGTTTAAGTGAGCATTTTAAAACTGGACGCTATTGTTTTAGGCAGGATGGTTGGTGCAGTAGAGTTGCCTGGACTTGCTCTCAGTAGAGTTGCACCTGCACCCATTTCCTGACTTAAATGTGATGCATTGCTGATGGATAACAGTGCAGAGTGCTCCCTGTCCCAGGATGTATCACTCCTCACAAGGTACATAGTGTAATGGTTGGCTGCCGCATTCATGGCCTTGGTGAGTCAATCTTCATCAGATCATGCTGTAGAGAATGTGGGTGTGTATCCACGTGCATGTTCGGCCAGCGCTGTGCGTGTCAGCAAATCCCCTTTTGCAGAAGTAGTGCTGCAGGGGAGATTATTTCTCTTTTTGCTTATATTGCATCATTCTAATTGGGTAGAAATGCATATCCCCTCCATCCCCAGTGTGTCTCCTAACTGTAACATGTAGTGCCCTGGCTGTTATTAATGTCTTAACAGACTCCCTAAGTGTGTGCCAAGCGTCTTATCCTCCGAGAGCACAGCAAAGACTGGGATTACCTTCGGCCCATCGGCAAACTCCTAATGCAAATGTTACCTAATCCTCCCTGTAAGAAATAATTAGACTAGTAAACAAACTGCAGCGCTGTATCTGGGCTTTACTCACGGGGAAGGCTCATCTTACCGTTTCACGCTCTCTGCTGACGGAGTGGATTTTACAGTTCTCAGTTCAGTTGTGCACCAGTGAGAATTGAATTGAGAATGCTTTTTAAATTCCTGAATGTGAATTGAATTTGAATGTAAAGACGTATAATTAAAATTAACTGAAATTCAAAGATATTAAAATAACTGTAATTACTATAACTAAAAAGCAAAGTTTGTGGAGACAAACTTTGAAAATTTGCTTGAATATTTGTAGGTCGGATGGGTGGGTGGAAAGACAAATGTATGGACAGATGGATGGATATACTGTAGATGAATGGATGGATTCATGGACAGATGGATAAATGGATGGATGGATGGATAGATACTGTAGGTGGATGGAAAGACAGGATAGACAAATGGATGGGTATATGCTTTGGATGGATGGAAAGACAAATGGTTTAGACTGATGGATATATACTGTAGGTGGGTGGATGGATGGATGGATGAAGAGATAAATAGATTGACAAACAAATTGATATATGCTGTAGATGAATGGATGAATGGAAAGACAAATGGATAGACACTGACGGATATATTCTGTGGATGGATGTATGGAAAGACAAATGGATAGACATGGATACATACTGTAGGTAAATGGATGGTTGGATGGATGGACAGATTGGTGGATGGATATAAAGACAAGAAAGAAAGAAAGAAAGAAAGAAAGAAAGAAAGAAAGAAAGAAAGAAAGAAAGAAAGAAAGAAAGAAAGAAAGAAAGAAAGAAAGAAAGAAAGAAAGAAAGAAAGAAAGAAAGAAAGAAAGAAAGAAAGAAAGAAAGAAAGAAAGAAAGAAAGAAAGAAAGAAAGAAAGAAAGAAAGAAAGAAAGAAAGAAAGAAAGAAAGAAAGAAAGAAAGAAAGAAAGAAAGAAAGAAAGAAAGAAAGAAAGAAAGCCATGAGGAGGAAAAGGAAGAGGGGAAAATGTATGGAAAAGAAAAGGAAAGGAATGGAAAAAGTAAATAAAGAAATACAAAGTAAAGAATGGGAAAGGAAAGGAAAGGAAAGAAGAAAGACAGGTCAGAATGAATAAAGGAGAAAGGGAAATGCCAGGAGAAGGAAAATGAAGAGGGTAAAAAAATGTATGGAAAGGAAAAGGAAAGGAATGGAAAAAGTAAGTAAAACAAAGTAAGGAATGGGAAAGGGAAAGGAAAGGAAAGGAAGAGGATAAAAATATATGGAAAGAAACAGAAAGGAATGGAAAAAGTAAGTAAAGACAAAGTAAGGAATGGGAAAGGGAATAAATGAAAGGGTAAAGGAAAATTGCAAAACAGCAAGAAAGAGGAAGGAAAGGTAAAAAGAAAAATTAAAAGGAAAACAACAGGAGTTTTGGATTTCTGACTCACTTCTAAGGAGTTGTTTGATTTCTTTGCTGGCATGTGAAGTGGTGAACTGGTTCACAATGTCCAGGGCTGTTTGATTGTAGGTGTTGCGGATGTTCACATCAATCCCAGCCTAAGTGTCAGATGATGAAGGGTTGGGTTGATATGTGAGGGTTAGTTCAGGTGAGAAAAAACACTCTGTATACCGGCAGAAATACAAAAAATGATATATCATTGTGTTCTGATATGACAGACTCAAGCACTATACTGTGGGAAAGCCCCCAAAACTGGTTCTACAATTCACAGCATTTTTCCTTGATAATAAATAACATAAGACAAGAAATCAATCAAATTAATCAACACTTCCCAATATTTTGTATCCATCTACTTACATCAAGCAATAATTGTACTACTTCCGTTTTCCCATAGAGGGCAGCCTCGTG